GAATTGACTCAACTCAGTTAAGTGGAACCAGGTCACATAACATGGTTAAGTAAATCCAACATTTCATTTTTTTACAGTGTGGGTTGTTACCAACACCTGGTGAAAATTTCACGTCATTAGCACCTCTAGTAATATATTTACTGAGAAAAATGGTGACGTGTTCAATACTTATTTTACCCGGTGTATAAAGGTTACAAAAAGATTTTACTTATTGTCCAAAATGATAAACGGAGATTAAAAATTATGTAAACTATTCCCACATGTGGTGTTTCACTGGCTAAAGACAAACCTGTTTCTAATACAAAATGTTCTTGTTTTTGTAATAAAAACATATTTTTCTCTTATTTCAGCTGCATCTCAGTCACGATTTCATTCTCTCAATTTAAAATGTGGTCTTAAACCAGACCATCTGAACAGTCTCAGTGGTGTCACATCAAATACATTAAACAAACATTTCATCTGATGTAAGGCTGACTCAGCACAATTTATTGTTACAAATATAATAACATTAACAACGAAGCAGCTGATTGAAAAATAACAGATTTAGTGTGATGACAGGAGACTGAGTCCTGCATGGACCTCTTCTTCCTCTCATCACAGAGAGAAAATGGAAATCCATGGCTGTTCCCAACAGCTCGCTTTCCCCTGAGGAAGATTTTCAGCTGGATATGAGAAAGTCTGGCGTCACACAGCTGTTTCCTGCTCCACATTATGGCAGCAGGGCTGAGAGGAAAGACCCTCTGTCTCCTCCTGTGATGATGGAGGGTGTCCACAGCTCAGCCCGTTACAGTCTTTGTGTTGTGGAGGCAGCCTTTCTTCTTCTGACAACTTCAAGAAACAAAGAACAGATTAAAACTCATTCAGATCTCATCTACCTGACTCCAAAGGTTTGTTAAGTTGGTTCTTTAAATATCTACAGGTTCTATAGAAGTGTGATCGTTCTGCACCAGACAAGAAAACATCTGGACTGTCAAGAAAAATCTGCACTTTTTGATAAAATGTATGTTGTAGCTGAGTGCTGAAGGATTCAGCTGAAATTTGCGTAGAACCAGTGGTGCCTGCAGAAATCTTTTTCAGGGGGGCCATGGGGGACACTGAAAAACCAAGGGTGGCACACCAAAACTAATATCTATAACAGAATTTTTGTGATGTGTTTGTAAAAATGACAAATTGAAAACTATGGCAATATAAAGCTATGGATATTTTGTCAACAGATGCTCAATTTGTATTTTCACAGAAAATATCACTATTTTATGACATTCAGAGACAAAAAAAACAAGAGTAAGTATTTGTAATGTTGGGGGAACCCACTGGTGTGGGGTCTGGGGTTCCTCCCCCAGAAAATTTTTATAGAAGTAAATGCCATTTCCTGCATTCTGGTGTATTTTAACTGGTTGTTAAACAGATTTTTACCTACATAGGAAAACACTTAATGTGAGTATTCTATAAGTCAAGTGGAATAAATTTATTTGTTAAGCAAGAGAAACACTGGATGAACTAATGTTTTATGGTAAATGTGGGGATTTAAATGAATTAAATTTTAAATTTGATGGGGACAGTTCCCTTTAAAAATGATCATCATTTTATTTAAAAATGTCAAAATACATATTTAAAGACATTTACAAGGAACAAGCTTTTTAAAATTTAAAGGCATCAGCTCTTCTATGCATGTAAAAAAATTATTTGCTTGTGGATGTTTCCTTTTGTGAAGAAAAACTGTGATTATAAAACTCCAAAACGGGAAATAAAGACTAAAACAAGCACACTTACAAACTACATCTACTGTAGTGTTATCTCAAATTATTAAGTTATTTGCTTTTTATGTCATATAATAAATATGATTTTGTTGCTCTACCAACTGTGCCACTGTACTGCCTGATTTTATATTTGGTATATAATTATAAAAATTATTTATTTAATATTTGATTAAAATATATCTATGAATATAACCTCCTGAGAACCTCCATCTTTATTTGAGAACATTGGTTTTAGACTGGTCTGGTTGTCCTTATTCAGAGGCGCTACATTTTAATTTTAATTTATTTTTTTATTTTAAATAAAATATAAATTAATGCTTTTAACTCTTAACTGTTAAAAAACATCAGTGTTTGTTTTTATACAGTATTTATGAGGTTCTATTCCTAAATAGGTTGGGGAATTGAAAAAGGAAAAACCTGGGTACTCAAGAGGATAAAACTGGGGGGGCCACTAGGGTGGCCAGCTTATTCTTGGCCCTGCTTAGAACTATTTTAAAAAGGTGGAAGTGAGCTGAATAAAAGCTGAATTAGGGGCGTATATGGAGTGTCTGGGTCACTAATGCCCCTTTTCCATGGTGTGGTGTCAGAATGGTAGGTGTAGGTACGGGTCGGTACGGGTCGGACCGGTTGGTTTTCCACTGGTGTTCCAGTCCAGTTCCAATGGGTGTATTTTGGGCGTTTGGTAGAGGTGGTTTTTAGGTATTTTGAAATAAAATTAATGGGCAACGTGAGAGATGGAAACACATTTGATGAATAACTTTTGAAATTTTAAACATTTGCATAAATTTAGCCAATCAGTGACGAACAGTGTTCTGACATCGCATTTTGGTGTCAGCTGGGGCCGGTTGGAACCACAGTGAAGTAGGTACTAAAAAAAGTGCTGGTTCCATGGATGTGGCTTAATGGAAATGGCTTGGAACTATAATGAACCATACCGACACTGCACTAAGCAGCACTAGTGGCACAAAGTCGAGCTTGTCCTCCGTGCGGGTTGGGTCTGATCTCCGACCCTGGACAGGATCTGAAGGCGCAGTCATGGAGAGGAGGGTGTCTGGTTTGGAAACCACAGGGTCTCATCTCTGCTGTATGTGGATGATGTGGTTCTGTTGGCGACTTTGGGTCAAGACCTTCAGGGGACACTGGGGCGGTTTGTAATCAAGTGTAAAGCAGCTGGGATGAGAGTCAGTTCCTCTAAAACCTGAGGCCATGGTTCTTGACCAGAAAAGGGTGGAATGCCCCTTTTTGGGTCGGGGGAGAGTCCCAGCCTCACGTGGAGGATCTGGGTGTCTTGTAAATGAGTGATGGTAGGATGGAGCGGGAGATAGATCGACAGATTGGGGCCTCATCCTCAGTAATGAGGACGTTGCTTTGGTCAGTCAAAGTGAAGAAAGAGCTCGATTTATTGGTCTGTCTTCATTCCAACCCTCACCTACAGTCATAAGGTGTGGAGGGATTATGTTTCCTCTCTGGCCTGGGAACACCTCAGGTTCACCCAGGACAAGCTGGAAAGTGTTGTTGGAGAGCGGGATATCTGAGTTTCTCTCCTGGACCTGTTGCCTCTACGACTCGCTTACGAATAAACGGCAGAAGATGGAGATGTCGATGGGTTTGGACAGTGGTGGGCAGCGCTAATACAAAAATTAGCTCCGCAATTTCTAAAGCACTTATGAATATATTTAGGTCCACAACTTCAAAAGCGCTCATGCCATAGACAAATTAGCGGAAGCTAATTTTAAAGCGCAAGTTCAATTTGACACTTACTAGCTGGCAATAAATCATGCACTATATATGCACAATACTGCCGACTAGTGGTGTATGAACTCTTTTACAGCTTAATTATACAACCGCCAATTGCTGGAAATGTGACTTCCTGAAACAGACATTTGGCTCCTGGTGTAAAAATTAAAATAATTTTTGAGGATTGCTATTTCGACTGCTTCTTTGTCTTTTTCTTTTGTTTATTGTAGATTTTTCATTAAAGCTGCATCAATAAAGTAATTTTAAAACTGTTTATTGGAAAACTGAAGTAATGCATTCTGGGTACATGACGGATTTGATTTGTGACGGGAAATGAAAGCACGGAGAACAGGAAACTAGTATCTTCCCTTCAAAATAAGAGCTTGGATTTTAAAGTTTTTCATGTTTCCATTGGATTTTAAAGTTTTTCATGTTTCCATTGGATTTTAAAGTTTTCCAGTTCACCTGAAACTCATCAGACTGAAGAAGTCACTTGGAGGAGAGACGAAACGTTTCACTAAAGAAGAACCGTCCAGAGGACCTACTTATTTTTTGTTTTTGATTTTTTTCTACCTGGATTGGGACGTTTTCCTGTAGTTGCCCCAGTTGACCACTAGATGTCAGTCTTCATAGCACAACATATTTAAATCATTTCTGAGTCTCTAACATCGTTGGCTGATTGCTTTTGAGCTCCAGCGTTTAAACTTTTTTTTAAAGGAGCTCCGATTGTAAAGTAAAATAAATCAATACATACAAAATTTTAGTATGGATTTCAAACTTTTACTGTTTTTGCTGGAAAAGGGAGTTCTAAACATTGCCTTCCTGCTACGTAAGCAGACACAAAGCATTGTGGGAAATGAGAACCGTGACCCAAAGCAACAGTCAGCAAGGATATACACCTTCACAATAAGTGTGTTTATCTGGGAGGGGTGCTGTTGGATAGATCACGTGTGTTGTGATTCATTGACAGCCATACCTTCTGCTGTTCAAAATAATGATGTCTGGTAGATAATTAGTTATTAGTGGTACTGTGTTTTAATTTTAGAAAGCGCAAATCTGCTTATGAATTATAAAAATTAGTAAGACCGCTAAAGAGCAAACAAAATATTTAGGTCCGCAATCAGCGGGTTTGTGCTTTAGCAGGCTGGTGCCCACCACTGGCTTTAGAAAATTGTTTGTTTGTACACAACGTCCAAACATGTCAGAATGTGGTTTACATTTGTTTAAATGTCATAAAAACACGTATTTTGTGTTGCTTTAGCTTCCTGAACAGCTTCAAATAGGAGAAATAGATTTCAGGACTGTTGGTTTCAAACCAGATAAGACTAACTTTGATTGCTTCCCACTTAAAACAACTTGAAACCCAAGTGTCTTATTCATGCAGTATTTTATAAACCCCACAAATCTCCATCAACTTTGTATCACATATTTATTTATTGGTATTAAAACTCAGTGTTTTTCTGCAAGCATAAATAACAGCTGCATCAACATGCTGTAAGTCTTTAAATTGCTTCTTTTAAAACAGTAAAAATGAGAAGGTAATCAATCCAACTGATGACTTACAGGCTGAGTCACACAGCAGAGCTTCTTCTGGACACATTCAGGTAGAAAACAAAGCAGCTTCTCTCCTAAAGGATAGATGGTTCCTGGAGTCACGTCCTCCTCTTTCATTGGGCCTTGATAAAAATCATTAGAAGCATTTTAAAAGTTGAACATAAAGGAGCATCCTGAGCGAATGGAGGTCTCTGCCCACCTGTGAGAAAACTGATGATCAGCCCTGTGAGAATGACTGTGAAGCAGCTGAAGCCACTGTACCACATGTAGGACAAAGAGTAGAACCTCCTCAGTCCAGAGGGTCTACTAAATAACAGCGACAGATTATCTGTTAGTGAGCTGAGTGAAGACACCCAGAACTGATGGAGGGACTCTCACCTTGTGATGTTCCTAAATGTGGTCTGTAAGGCTGACGTCGTGTTCTCGGACTCCAGGACAAAGTGACAGCTGGGTGCCAGCAGTTCTGTTTTAGAGCTACGAGTGACGATGCTTCCAATACCGACCCAGAAAGCCATGAGCAGTCCTGCACCCAGACCAGTAACTGCACCCTGAAAACACACAGGCTTATTAAGAGTTTAAATATGAAACATTTTGTTCAAAGTTTCAATGTGAAAATCTTTCATTAAATGACCTTAAACATGTACAGTTTAAATAAACAGCAGCAATCTGAAACTAAAATCTTGTTTTGTGGGCTTGAAGAAATTTATTTAGTCAGATTAGTTACTGATTTTAAAAGCACTTAGGGCTGCAACTAATGATTATTTTAATAATCGATTAATCTGTTGATTATTTTTTCAATTAATTGTCCAAATCATTAAAACGCTTAATTACATGAATATGAGTAGATATAAATTAACTCCTTAAGAGTAACTTACCCCAAATTTAACTTTTTTTAGCTGATAAACTGTCTAGAATGTGTCTAAAATGTTATATAGTACTGTTTCTTTGCTAATTTTGATGTTTATGTGTGTATTTGTTCAAATCTGTAATATTTGGTCTAAAAACGTCTTTTTGCTGCTCATATGGGTAGAGCAGTAGTACTGCAGGCTAATTTGCATATTGGTTAACGGCTCTCCACGGTGACGTGTCTTCTCCACAGTTTCGTCACAGCGGCTGTGTTCTGGTATAAAAGCCTCTCTCTAAGACACGCCCCTGCAGCAGTCAGAGGGTGGAACAGTTAGCAAGCTTAGCATGATTGTCTGTTGACCTGGCCAGGCGCTTTCATGTCTGCAGCTGACACCCCCTCCCCCCGGGGGTGCGAGTTGTAAGGATTTCTTGCAAAATTTATGGATTTTTAGGGCTCTTTATACAGGTAAACATCCAAAGAGGTTGAAAT